TTCAATATTCACTTCCTCGCCTTTCGCTTGGAATCACTCCGGGAATCCAGTGTATATGTATTTTTGCTCTTTTAAAAACTACCCCATCCGTCCCCCCTTCAAGCATCGTTCTTTAACTGGCTTCTCTCAAATCTGTGTGAGATAGGGCCAGGTGTTGCTATCATTTATGTTTGCTTCCTAGATAGCTGGACCCACCCCCGATCAGCCCCCACCACCCGATCAGCCACCGCACCTCTCCCCAGCCATCCTAGACCCTGATCAGGCCCGATGGGGTGGGCCGGCTGGCTAACCTTCCGCCATCTCCTCCTCCCAATAGGCCTGGCCCCCATCTGCCCCATTTGGGGCTAGCCCAGCCGGACCCCACCTGTCCATGAATTCATGCACTGGACCTCTAGTCTATATATATAAAAGCCTAAGCAACTGTCTGACCATTTGACCATTCAACTGGTAGCTATGATGCGCACTGACCACCAGGGGCAGACACTCCGACCAGTAGGTTAGCTTGCTGCTGGGGTCTGGCAGATCAGGACTGGGTAAGACCAGGCCGGACAGGCCCTGGAGCCCTCCCCTGGTACCTCCCTGGCCCCGAATGTGCACCAGTGGGGTCCCGAATTGCAAGAGGGCACAGGCCAGGCCAAGGGACCCTACTGGCGCATGAATCTGTGCACCAGACCTCTAGTATCTATATAAAAGCCCAGGGACCGAACGGTGGAACGACCAGAACGACTGTCGACCAGTCACTCTGAAGAGCACTGACCACCAGGGAGCAGATGCTCAACACAGGAGCTGCCCCCTGGTGGTCAGTGCGCTCCCACAGTGGGAGAGCCACTCAGCTGACTGGGATGAACAGAGCTCCCACAGTGGGCCAATCCCCGCAGGCCATGCCCTTCACCAGTGCACGAATCTGTGCACTGGGCCTCTAGTTCAAAAAATAAAGTTCTATTGTTGCTGATATGTAGTTAGGCATATGATGGTTACGTCTGTACTGAATATGTACAGACTTTTTTCCTTGTCATCATTCTCTAATCAATACAGTATAAAAACTATTTACATAGCATCTACATTGTGTTAGACATCATAAGTAACCTATACGGGAGGATTTGTATGGGTTATATGCAAATACATTTTAAATAAGAGACTTCAACATTCTAGAATTTTGGTATCTGAGGGTAGGGTGGAAGGGGAGGGGGGCGATCCTGGAACCAATCCCCTAAGGATACTGAGGGATGTGACTCTATTTCAGTGGTTCTCAACCTTCTGGCCCTTTAAATACAGTTCTTCATATTGTGACCCAACCATAAAATTATTTTCGTTGCTACTTCATAACTGTAATGTTGCTACTGTTATGAATCGTAATGTAAATATCTGATATGCAGGATGGTCTTAGGCGACCCCTGTGAAAGGGCCGTTCGACCGCCAAAGGGGTTGCAACCCACAGGTTGAGAACCGCTGCTCTATTTGAAAAAGTTAAGTCAGTGTTATATTTAGTGCAGATTATGAATGAAACCATACAATTGTTTTGTTTGGGGTGTTAATCGTTCTACTTTATTCCTTAAGCACATGTTCAGAAATACTTTATATCTGTGGGTGGACTGGATGTATTGTGTCAAGTTCTTGTGCAACTGGAATCTGATTCACATAAGACTCTTTCAAGTGCTAAGCTTGCAGTGGTGGTGACAAAGACAGTGGATGCATGTATTGCTGATAATTGTGAGTAAAAATGCTTAGTCATTTTTCTACAATTGCATTTTGCTTGAGTTCAACACGTAAGGGTTGAAATGGTAGCTTGAATATGGATTATCTGTTTTCTCATGGAGGTTATAACCTCCCACCACCAGAAGGTTCAAATCTTCTGACTTCAAGTCTAATAATAGATTCTACCATATCTAAGCCTTTGTTTCACTTAAAGTGGCATTAAATTAAAAAGATTAGATGAGAAATCAAGGGACATTTTGGAGACATAAGGAATGGAAAACCCTATCTATAGATTTTTAAAAATTTTATAAAGAATTAGGGTATGCCTCTTTTTGGTAAATGTGAGGTCTGACTTACCCAGCCATTACTAGTGAGTGACAGAACCAGAGTTGAACCCATGCCTATTCTCTTGAACACTGAGGAATGATAATCTATAAATTTGTAATAAGCAACTCTTGACATTCACAAATAACTGTGAAGTAAGTAGATTTTTTAAAAATCAGTTATTGAGGGCCTGCTATGCATAGGGCTCTATGTGAGCTCTAGAGATGCAAAAATGATGAAGAGATAGTCCCTCAAGAAATTCACAACCTTATGAGCAGAAGTATAGTTTAAAATGGCAGACTTCTTGAATTCTGTCACATCTCAGCTTCAGGTATGCTTCACTGCATCATCAACATCAATAGAATCATGGCCAGTTAGTAGTGGATTTCATTGACAAGCAGGAATTAGTTACATAGGAAGGTCTTTACTGTCCAATCTAGATAATAAGAAGTGTGTAAGATGAGAATAAGCATATTCAACTTTTAGGAATGCTTCATATTACCAACATTATGCAGGGTAAATATTAAGAAACCATTCTTTAAAAAACTTGCTTTAGTAAAGTATCTTTAATATGAGAAGAGGGATTAATGAAGGCTATATAAGCCACTCTCTTATTACTCATTTATTTATATTTACATATATATGCACATATATATATTAGATGTTATATAGATATATAAGATCATTCTCCTAGGATAAGATCTGAAAAACAGTATATATGAGAAATAGTATATGTATAGTTATAAGTTTGTATTTACTCTTTTTCTTTTCTATTTTATACTAATAGCTACTTTTGGTCAAGTATTATCCAAGTACCATATTGTTTCAAAACTTCTGGCATTACTGCTTCATGAAAGTCTGGATTCAGCAGAAAAATTTAGCATCATTCTTACTCTTGGTCATTGCACAGAGACTTGCGGTAATACTGGGTTTACTTAGTGTGCTTATTAAAACGGGGTGGAAATACACTTTTGGGTTTTTCCTCCTAGTCATATGAAAGGCTTGAAAGTAGTGCTTTCTCCCATTCACTCAGGTCCCAAACCAGTCATTTTGCTCTTCATCCTTTTTAATCCATTGCATTTAGTTGGCCCCTAAGACCTGTGGTTCTGCGTCTGTTGACCCTTCTGTATATCCCTTGCTGCCCAGTTCCGGTGCTACTCTCCCAAGACCCCCAGCCCCTTCACATCTTTCACCAATGTTATTGCAATAGGCTGTTCCCTGTTTCCCCTTCCATCTCCATTTTTCAGTACACGCTTCACACTGCTGCACAGATCTAATCGTATTCTTCTTTGCTGAAAACCTTCAAAAGTTCTATCATTTCTTTCTCTACCTGTCATTCTCACCTCTCTTTTTTCTCCTTGCTTCCATTTTCCTCCTTCTCTTCACTCTCCTGCCATTCTCCCTCTTCCATTCTCCTCCTTTCCAATTCTCTTCACTTTCCTCTTTCCCTCTCTCTTCCAATTTCTGCTCTTTCCCCTTCCACTTTTCCACTCTTTGTTTGTTCTCTTGTTTATTCTACTCTCTTCCTTTCCTCATTTTCAGTTCATTCTATTCTTTTACTTTTTTTTTTAAATGTATTTTTATTGATTTTAGAGAGGAAGGGAGAGGGAGAAAGAGATAGAAACATCTGGCTGCCTCCTGCACGTTCCCTACTGGGGATAGAGCCTGCAACGCAGGCATGTGCCCTTGACTGGAATCGAACCTAGGACCTTTCAGTTCTCAGGCCAACGCTCTATCCACTGAGCAAAACCAGCTAGGGCTCTATTCTTTTTCTTCTATATAATTTAGGATTTATTATACTTTTTAAATTTTTATTTTTTTAATTGAGGTTTAGTTGAGAACTATACTTTTAAAAAATGTTTTTATTGATTTTTAGAGAGAGAGGAATGGAGAGAGATAGAAACATCGATGAGAGAGAAACATTATCAATTGGCTGCCTCCTGCACATCCCCTTCTGGGGATTGAGCCCACAACTCAGGTATGTGCCCTGACTGGTAATGGAACCATGATCTCTTGGTTCCTGGGTCGACGCTCAGCCACTGAGACACACCAGGCGGTTGGGAACTATACCTTTTTAAGAACCAAGTGAAGGCATTTGTTTACACTCATGAGATATGATGCTACTCTGTGGCAGTATTTCAGAGATCACTTGTGATACTCAGTCATTTTATGTGTCAGTTATTTCCTAAATTGAATACACTTTTGAAACTTGGTTTTTTTCTAATTTGGACTATGTTCATAATTACCACAGGAAGAATTATGATCTCATGTAGATAGTTTATGGTAAAATAACTTTCTTCTACTTTACTTTTTTATATCTTTTCCAGAGGAAAATCAGTATGACCTTTTTAAAAACAATGGGCTTCCACTCATGATACAAGCCTTAACTGAATCTCAGAATGAGGAACTAAACAAAGCTGCCACTTTTGTGCTTTGCAACTGCAAAAAAATTAGTAAGTTTATCGTTACTTAAAAAAACACACACAAAAAAAGTTTACAAAGGGAAATTTCTATCTGCTTTGATGAGCCAAGCCCCTTTAGCTCCCTGGCTCTTCTTACATCTGAAGAGCAGAATATTTAATTTGGCCATGACACCTGGAGTGTTTCGGCATACAAAAAACCTATATGGAAGAGAGCAACAGTACAGATAATTCACATTTTATGTAGTGTGGACAAATATAGTTTGAGGGCTATAGGTAATATGATTAAATCATAATACAAAGTATATTTACTTATTTATTTGAAAAATGTTTGAGTGCCCATTATTAGCCAGGCACTGTGCTAGGCATTAGGAATATAGTGATAAGAAACAGTCTGTGCACTCACAGAACTTAGTTTAATTAGAGAAATAGATAATAATTGAATAGACTCAAAAGTGAATGTATTATATAAATTAACCTAAGAGTTTAGAATGGATAGAGCACAGATCTTAGAGTCTGTAACAAAGGACTAAGACCTAGACCAGCCGTGGGCAAACTACGGCCCGCGGGCCGGATTCGGCCCGTTTGAAATGAATAAAACTAAAAAAAAAAAAAAAAGACCGTACCCTTTTATGTAATGATGTTTACTTTGAATTTATATTAGTTCACACAAACACTCCATCCATGCTTTTGTTCCGGCCCTCCGGTCCAGTTTAAGAACCCACCCATTGTGGCTCTAAAAGTTTGCCCACCCCTGATAAGGTAGAAAAGGCTTCAGGAGGAAATGATTCTTGAACTGAGATCTGAATGTATAGAGTTCATTAGATGAAAAGAAGGGAATTTTCTATGGGCGAGGATCTCAGGGCTTAGCAACAGTGAAGCATAAGACCTTGTGATAGGAAGGATCCTGGTGCGTTGAAGGAATTGATAGCCAGGGCCATGGCCATGAAAACGATTTTTGTCTTTGTGTAAGAAAAATTGTTGCTGCATCATGTGTAAAGAAAAAGGATTGTAGGGAGGAACTACTTTATGAAAACTATTTTTATAAAAAACTATTTTAAAACCGGTATCCATACCTGAGGGTGTTTATGTGCCTGGGATAACATATTTTCATGCTATTCTCTTTCCTATAACTCTGAAGAATAGTCTGTTTTATGACTCTTAGGGTCCTGGACCTCTGCCAACTACTTGCTTTCCACTTATTTTCAATATCACGTGGGTGATTGAGATAGTTTAGAAGGGCAGAATTTAGGGGAGGTGTGGGGTATGAAGTTGTCCTTATTTAAAGTGTTAAAATAACATTTCTGGTAATGGATAAACTCACTGTTTTTCCCCCATATTGCAAAGCTGAGAAATTATCTCTAAGCCTAAGAGAATGTCCTTTTGATGAAAATGAAGCAGAACAATTAGAAGACATAAATAAGAAAGAGAAGAATATTGGAGAGTACTGGAAGAAAGCAAAGGACATTCTTCACAGAATAGAACAGCTTGAAAGAGAAGAAAATGAGGTTGGCTTCTTTGTTTCAAAGAATATAGAACTTTTTAAAAGTATTTTTGAACAATATAGGTTAGAAGGTAAAAGATTTTTCTTGCCAAGCTGTTCTTTAAAAAAGTCCTGGTGCACAGGATGTCGTCCACCCAACTGAGCCACACTGTCCAGGGCTAGTTGCTACTCATGTTTAAGAGTCAGATGCTAAAAGTCTCCTTGGAAAATTTGTTTACTGTGGATTCTCATAGGATTAAGTGGGTCATTTGGAGAAACTCCAATGTCTAATCTCCTGCCTAGAGATTGTCAACCAACCAGTGCTCTGGAATCAAAATGGGGGACGACAGCTTGGGTCTTAGAATTCAGTACGTAAATAGTTGCTTATTCTGTTTCTTGAATAGTTTTCTGCCTTCAGCTTTGCTTGGAGTCTTCCAGTGTGGAGACTGTTTTGTCTCCTCCAGTGATTATATTTCCAGCCTTGGGAAGGGAGAGGACCTTCTGGTGTTAACCAACTACCTGCTAAGTGTATGTTGAGAGCTTGGTAGCATATGTTAGGTAGTTTCTTGACTTTTCCCATTGTAAGCTTTGCATTCAGGTTTATCAAGTCTGCTAAATAGGTTATCATTCACCTATTTGCTATTCAGTTTCCAAAATGTTGTTGCTTTTATTTCTTCTTTTATTTCTCCTGTCCTTGTGGGGTTTTGCCTTTTTTTAAAAAAAACTGCTATTCTGCCGAACCAGTTTGGCTCAGTGGATAGAGCGTCGGCCTGCGGACTCAGGGGTCCCGGGTTCGATTCCGGGCAGGGGCATGTACCTTGGTTGCGGGCGCATCCCCACTGGGGGGCGTGCAGGAGGCAGCTGATCGATGTTTCTCTCTCATCGATGTTTCTGACTGTCTATCCCTCTCCCTTCTTCTCTGTAAAAAATCAATAAAAAAAATATATTAAAAAAAAAACCTGCTATTCTAATTGGTGTTTTAGAAGGACCAAAAATAACCCTAGCTGGTTTGGTTCAGTGGATAGAGTGTTGGCCTATGGACTGAAGAGTCCCAGGTTCGATGTGCCCAGGTTGTGGGCTCAATCCCCAGTAGGGGGTGTGCAGGAGGCAGCGAATCAATGATTCTCTCTCATCATTGATGTTTCTATCTCTCCCTCTCCCTTCCTCTCTGAGATGAATAAAAATTTATTTATTTATTTATTTATTTATTTATTTATTTATTTATTTATTTTAAATCCTCACCTGAGGATATTTTTCCATTGATTTTTAGAGAGTGGTAGAGAGAAGGAAAGACAGAGAGAGATATCGATGTGAGAGAAACACATTGATAGGTTGCCTCCTACACGAGCCCTAATCAGGGCTCGGGCCAGGGAGGAGCCTGCAACCGAGGTTGACAATCTCTGGAATCAAACCCTGGGACCCTTTGGTCTGCCGACGCTCTATCCACTGAGACAAAATGGCTAGGGCAATAAAAATATATCTTAAAAAAAAATAGAAGGACCAAAAATACATATGGGTGTTAACTTCATCATCTTTACCTGGAAGGCCTCTTTATTCTTTTTTTTTTTTTTTTTTTTTAACAATTTCAGAGCATTCCATTGAAGAATATGCTAGCTTCAACTTTTAACTATTACAAACAGTGCTGCAGTTAATAACATCAACATTTTGTACATGTAAAAGTGTTTATAGCTATGCATAATTTTTATTATGAAAGATACTGTCAAACTGTTTCTCCATAGAGGTTGTACCAACTTATACTCCCACCTGTAATGTACGAGTGTTTCTCTATACCCTTTTGATCTCTGCCAATGTCATAGATGAAGAAAGCTATCTCAGTGTAGCTTTCATGTTTATCTTATTCTAAGTGGGAGCACTTTTTCATATGTTTAAGAGCAATTTATATTTTCTTTCCTGTGAAATGTTCATTTTTTTTTGCCTATTTTTCTATACTATTGTTGATATTTTTCATATTTCGCTATAGTAGCTTTTTGTAAACAGTAGAAAAACTATACTGTAGTTTAAAATATATACATATTCTTTCTAGGTGTTTTGATTATCATTGGGTTTTGCTTCTGGCCTTTTTTTTCCTCTGAGTTCCTACTAACCTCCATCCCTTACATTATTCTTATTCTCTAGCACAGTGGTTCTCAGCTTTGGCTGCACATTAGAATCACCTGGGAATCCTTTTAAAATCCTGATTTGTGGGCCTCATCTCCGGAAATTCTGTTTCTTTGTTATGGGGTGAGGCCACAACATTAGTAACAAAGAAACAGAATTTCTGGAGGATGAGGCCCAGAAATCAGGATTTTAAAAAGATTCCCAGGTGATTCTAACGTGCAGCCAAGGTTGAGAACCACTACTCTAGCAGAACTTTAAAAAAAATTTATGTGGTAAACTATATTAGTTTTTTTCTTTTATGATTTATTGATTTTGTGTAATAGTTGGAAAGGTCTTCCTCCCCTTGAGAATATTAAAATGTCATGTTTTCTTTTAGAACGTACATCATTTCATTTTTATACATCAATATTTAGTTCATTTTTTTGTGTAAATTGTGAGAAATGGACCCAATTTATTTTTCCTCAGATGGCTACCCAGTTGTTTCTAAATAATTTATTGAATAAACTTCCTTTTATTTCTAATATAAACTGCCCCTTTTATCATGTGTATTCTATTCTTTTATCATGTATATTTATAATGTTTAAACTTTTCCTGCATTATTAAAAGGGTATAAATTGGATTATAAAGCAAATGGGTTACTTTGAAATTATTTGCTTGTCATTTTTACATTATAGGAAAAAACACAAAGAGAAAAAGATAATGTTTCATCTGTGAACATAAATATTCAAAATACATTGAAACACCTCCATACAAATAGTATTGGTGGAGGTCCCAAAGCAGAAGATAAGGATACAAGCCAGTCTAGAAAGCTGCAGAGTTACAAATCTCATGGATTTATGTCTAAAACATGTACAAAAGATGACCAAATGAAGACCCTGTTAAAGAGTGCAAATCCAGTTAATGCTTGTTACAGGGAGAGTGGGCAAAGTAAGACTTTATATAAAGCCAACCCAAGCTGCAATCAAAACTTACAGGAAGGAACTTTTGAAAAAAAAGATTCTGTTTCTCAATCAAGGTACGTCTATTAATTGTTTCTAACTTTTAGAAAATTCTGCAGATATTTTTTGTTCAGAACCATGTGCCACACTATAAGCACTAGGATATGGAAATGATAAAACAATGTCTGGGGAGCAGCCTAAAGTCGGAAATGTTGGGAAAGCAGTTTTGGACGAGGAAGTATGGGCCAGTTCATCTAGGGCCTTGCATGGTACACTCAGGATGTTCGATTTTAACTCATAGGGTGTAGGGAGCCATTGACAATTTTAAATTACATGGCATGATCAGATTTGAATTTTAGAAAGGATACTCAAAAAACTGAAAGTGAAACCCTGCAGTAACAATGCATGCACTGGTAATCTATCAGCAATGTAGCAAAACCCAGTTTGTAAGTTTAGTTTGATAAAGGGAATAGGGTGTGATGAAAATCTGCATTAGGCTTGCCTTTTCGTTTGTTCCCTACACCTCACTTCTGCTACATGTCCTTTCTCCCTCACAGGTATCCTGTAGGGCTGGACCTGAGATTGTAGCTTTCTTCTTAAACCCTTTCTTGTGTTCTGCTCTTCTGATGGTTACTGTGCTAGAAGGAAAACTTAAGAGGATGCTCCTATGTTCGGAGAAGGTTGCAGGGTAAACTAAGTATTAGAAAGATGGACTATATAATTATCATCCCTTTTTTTCTTCTCAAAACCATTCTTAATGTTAATTTTAATTGACTTCTCAGGGATGTGGAATTGGGAAGCCGTGAGATGCGTTCTTGGGTGAGCCTTTGCACTTTGGCCCTCTCAGTTCTTTCTCTTTTTTTGTCCTCATTTCTTCCTGTATTCCTCTTTTACAACTTTTTGTCCCATATTTCTGTTGGCATCAGTGGTATTACCCTCTGGAGTCTTGTTTCAGCTCCACTCTTAGAAACAAGGTTACAGCCATCTCAGACCTTACTTGGGCAGAATTTGGTAGATTTTGGTTGATCCCATCTCCAGCTCCTTCTACCTGCCAAACACTCAGAATGCTTACAGAAACATTTGTAAACACCCCAAACAGTATGTTTACTTTCAGTAATCTGGTATCTATTTTCTTTCAGCGACCGTGTTTTTAAACATCCAAATCCCATTGTCAAAAATAGAAAGCAGCAGTTACCAGTAACAGGTATGATTAAAAATTTTTCTTCTTTGATTTTTCAAGAAAACACATATTTAGGTGACTAATGTAGCCAAAAATGTACATCAGTCTATCTGCCCTCTAACGTAACACCTCTGACTCTCTTTCTGGTATAAATGCTCAGTCACCTTTTATTGACATCCAGAACTTTTTTGTTTATTCATTGGATGACTGGATGTTTCCAATTAGCCCATAAACTGGGCTAATGTTTATGAAAATCTCTTGATAATTAATAAATCTTATAAAAATGTCAGGTTCTTTTTAGCATTCAAAAAAATCTTGTATTTTGCGATTTTTTTAGATCCATTTACATTATGTTCAGATATAATAAATAAAGAAGTCATCAATTTCCTATCAGCTGACGATTGTCCCAAAATATTCAAGTATAGATGCTCAGGTAAATATTTTTTAATTAGTTATTTCATAATTAAAGTTTTATCTGATAATAAGTAGAATTTGTAATAGGTTCTGCCTGCGTGATTTAATTTCCTTTGGAAAAATAACCATTTGTAGTATCATTAAACATTCAAAATATTGCCTTCTATCTGTATCATCCTGTGCTCCCAGTATTTGTTTATATGAATCAATGTAGTTATTTTTTATTACTCTTTTTGTCAGAAGTAATACTTCTATAAGTTTTACTTGTGACAAAGTAAACTTTAAGTTCAACTATAAGTTTAACTTTACTGACTAAGTTAAACATGTTTTATATATGCTTATAATAAATATTTAAGTGTTTCTAGTGTTCCATGCCTCCTCATTTTTTTCTGTAGGGCTATTTAAAAATTTTTTCAATTAGTTTATATTTAATATTATGTTGTATTAGTTTCAGGTGTAAAATCTAGTGGTTACATAATCATTTACTTTACAAATTAATTCCCCTGGCACCATACATAATTATTTCTGCAGGGCACTTGTAAATGTTCCATAGTGCTTATTCCATCCCTTCTCCTTCTCTTTCATACCCCATCTCTTTACTCTTATTCTGGCACTGTGCACTCTATGGAGAAAATTGAGGCTATTGCACATTAGGCTCAAAATATTACTATTCTTCGGTCTTGGATGTAGAGTTTAATTTTATTACTCTAAAACTGATTTCTAGCTATAATTTGAATCCCATCTCTTTTTTTCTTCCCATTTTAATATTTGTGAATTCTTTTTATTTCCTTTCTATCCATTAACTCCTTTTGTCCTACCTTAAACTATATTACTTTCTCCTCATCTTAAAAATCCAATAGTGTGATTTGCTATTGCTTCAAACATTCATCTACTCTTCTGCCACCATTTATTACCAGATTCATTTCTTGCTCCCTTCTCTCTCAATATATTCATTCCTGTTTTAACTCCCTGCAATCTGGCTTTTTTTTTTATTGCCTTTCTACTAAACATTAATGTTAAAGGGTACCTGAAGCCACATCCCCCTCATTCCCAATCCAGTGACTTTTACAAAAAATTCCTAGTATCTCTACACCGTTGATAACCATTCCTTGAAATACTCTTCTGTCAATAATTTAATGCCACAGTTCCCAAACTATTCACCCAGGCTTCCTAGAGCTCTGCAGTGAACTCACAAGGGTACTACACAATATTTTAAATTTTATAAGTGGAGCACAAAATAGTCAGTATTTTTTGGATACTACATGAACTACTAGCTCAAAGTAGTTCAGATTTTCAACATTAGATTACATTACATTCCTTTTGATGATCCATGTTTTTGTGGAGCTAAGCTTTCAGTGATAGTTGTGATAAAAATCAAACACCACATGAAAATCAATGTGGAACAGGAAATAAATTTGGCAGTGTCTAGTCTGATTCCAGGGTTTGAGAAGTTATTCTATACCCAAAAGGTACACACATCTCATTAGGAAGTAATTCTAATTAATAAGAATGAAATACAAATATATTTTTTTCAATTTAGGTGTCTTGTTTTTTCAAGTAGCTACTAAATTGTTAGAACATAAGTACTTATTAAGTTGTTTTGGACCTAACAGGATGGTTAGCATTTCTTTTGGCCTAGGGGTGCCGTAAAAAAAATCACCAAGTTCTTAAGGGTGCCATGAAGCAAGAAAGTTTGGGACCTCTGGTCAAAAGTATTCCAGTTGACAGAGTGGACACTCTATAACTGTTAACTTCCTTTCATCCCTTAGTTTGTTTGCGATGGTTCTTTCCTAGTTCTTTTCTTCTTTCAGTGATGATTCATTCATTGATTTCACAGACACTTGGGGAGTGCATATTCTATGGCAGGCGGAATCAAGATGCATAGAACTCATTCCTCACCTCAAGAAGTTTATAGTCTAAAACAATTCCATTTAATCACCTCTAGTGCTTTATCATTATCTTTCTGCCAAATTTCTACAAGTATTCCCCCTAAGACAGTGATGGCGAACCTATGACACGCGTGTCAGAGGTGACACGCGAACTCATTTTTTTGGTTGATTTTTCTTTGTTAAATGGCATTTAAATATATAAAATAAATATCAAAAATATAAGTCTTTGTTTTACTATGGTTGCAAATATCAAAAAATTTCTATATGTGACACGGCACCAGAGTTAAGTTAGGGTTTTTCAAAATGCTGACACACCGAGCTCAAAAGGTTCGCCATCACTGCCCTAAGACATAGTTTATAGCACTTACTCAACTCTGTTGCAACATTTACTTTTGTGGCATCAACCATCATTTTACTGATGATTTTCAAATCTGTATCTCTGCACTTGGCTTCTTCCTTGGGTTATAACCTCATTCTTCCATTTCCAGCTGTACCCAGGATAGTCTCATGTCAATATCTTGCTTTTATTTCAAGCTTAATATATTAAAATCACAGCATCTTTCTTCCTCTTAAGTTGCCCTTTGTTCATCCACTCCATTTCTATTGCTGCTGTTCTTCTGGCTTCCCAGATGTCAAACTTTAAATCGTCTATAAAAATGTTTTCTCCTTACATCCCTTATTTCTAGTTGTTCAGATCTGGTTCTGTTTTTCTTTCCCACATAGGCTCTTTTTGCTTCATGCCTAAATCACTCCCACAACTTTCTAGGAGTCTTCACTTGCAAGTCTCACCATCCCCCAACTCTAATGTACACATTGCTGTTAACTTCTCTTCCTAATATGTGCTTTTTGTCATGTCACCATGCTGAAGAACCCTCAGTGCTTCTCTGTAACTCACTGAATCAAATTCTCTGCTTGGCTTTCAAAATTTTGTGAAATTTTGTCCTGCTTCCACTTCTTAAATTTTACCGCACATTTATTCTCTTCAAGTCTGCCAGAAATGTGTCATGCTAGGCCAAACTTTGTCAGTCAATCAACCACCAAATTATTTGAGGTATCCTAAACTTCTCCCTAACCCCAGCAGCTCATTAGTCACCAATTTTACCTCAGAAATTTCTACATTCTTACTGCAAATGCTCTGTTTCAGAATCCCCTCATTTATTTTCGGCAATGATGAAGTAACCCCACAACGATCCTCTTACCTTCAACTGAGATTTCTATAAGACAAATGAAATCATGTCATTTCCCTGCTTAATAAATATCCTTTAGTGCCTCCCCACTGACTAAGATATTTAAAAATCCTCAGCATGGCTTTTAAGACACTTCTTTGCTCTACCCTTTCAACCTTCACCAACCTCAACTTTTCTCCCACACTTCTCTCATACTTTATACTGTAGCCACACCAAAGTACCTCTGATTTTATGAACATACTATGCTTTTTCATTCTTCTGTGCTTTTGCACATGTTCATTGTGCTAGAAATGTCCTCATCCCAGCCAACTTTTCTGCCTGGATAATCTCTCCTTGTCCCTTCCAAATGCGCCGCTAATACCATTAAGTGACAGGCAGATGGAGAACTTTATAATAAATAGATGTGGCTAACCTTACCTGAACCTACTGATCAACCTTAACCCTAAAAACAGATAAACTTTATGGGCCTCTTAATATGATGCAGTAAGAAGTATACAATACTACCTGTGAGGAATTCTAAAATCAATTGAATCTGAATTTGATCAATCCTTTAGATCTAATTACTAATTTGTTGGGTACACAGGAACATTTTAAAGGCTGCAACTAGGATAAAATCAGCAAAACCCAGGTTTTGGGAAACTCCATAGTTCAAATGATCCAGTATCTACAACAAGTAAATGATAAGGAGGAAGAGAGGAGACTTGATAGATTAAAATAAACTGAATGTAATGGTAGACTTTGGATCATGATTCAAAGAAACCAACTGTAAAAAGAAAGTTTTGAAATAATGGGGAAATTTAAACACTAGGTATTTAATTATATTAAGCATACTTTTCTTAGGTGTGATAATGTTTTTTTTAAGTCCTTATCTGTTAGGGATGTATACAAAGTATTTATAGATGAAATAATTCTTTAATGCAAATTCCAGGCTTCATGATCTAGTGCAGCAGTTGCCAATCGGTGGTCTGTGGACCACTGGTGGTCTGTGAGGTCCAAAAGATTGGCGACCGCTGATCTAGTGTGTACATTGGGGGCAGGCAGACAGAATACATGGAGTGTAGATAAAATATGATTGAGCATTAGTTAATTATTGAAGCTGGATGATGGATACATAAAGGTTCATTATGCTTTTTCCTTTCCTCTTGTGTGTTTGAAATTTTCTGTAATGAGACATTTAAAAAATACGACGGGACATGAGTTATTTCTTTTACATATCTTTCCTAACAGTGACTCCTGCTTAGAACCAGACCAATCACCATAACTCTGTTCACACCTCTATCGTAACACTTATTTCACTATATTGTGTTCTTATGTTTCCATCTCTAACAAGACTTTGAACTTTTCGACATATTTATAATCAAATTCCTGATTTGACTTCAGTTACTATCATAAAGATATTTGCTTTCATAGATTTGTTATTAGACATTTTATAACATTTATACATCACTTTAATTTGTTTTCTTTTAGGTTGCATAGCAGTAGGAAAATCCCTGAATAGCCGAAATTTTAGCAAGCTCTTGCACTCATGTCCATACCAATGTGATCGTCACAAAGTCATTGTGGAAGCTGAAGACAGATATAAAAGTGAACTAAGGAAATCACTTATCTATAACAAAAGTAATTAATTCAGTAGCTTTAAAACTGTAATTATGACTATACCTTCTGAACTATGACCTAGAACATATATTAAAGCTAGAGGGTAAAATAATGTTGAAAAGAAAATCTGTCTCTGAGCAACCAGTGATTTATGTTGTATCCAGTAAGCATACTTAGTTTTTGGTGGTTTAAAAATTTTTCCTAATCCACCTAAGGATTCTTATTAGAAAGGGAAAATAAGGGAAATATCATACTAATGGAATTGATGTGCTGTTACTCAAATTGATATACTAAGTATGCTAAATGTTTTCCTTATTTTTCAGAAATTCTGCTGACCCCACGTAAAAGACAACTACTCAGTAATGAACGTACTTCCTCTGGAGGAATAAGTGAATATATTTAATTTAAAACATTTTTATTGATTGATTTGAGAGAGAGGAAGGGTGGAAAGAAAAAGAGAGAAACATCAACTTACTGTCCCACTTATTTTACCAAGTAAAATCATTTGCAGAGCCTCATGAAATGTACATAATTATGGCTACACATTGATTATACAGAGGGATCCTAAATACTGTTTTGTGACATTCAATTCATACATACATACATCTTTTTTGTGGGTTAGAATTGCTTTAGCTAAAAACATCTTCTATAATAATAAAAGGGTAATATGCTAATTAGAGCAGACATCATTCCGGACGAAGCTGGGGCGGGAGGCAAGCCGCCCGGTCCCAGGTGCCTGCCGGCAGCTGGAGTGAAGCCCGGGTCCTGGGTGCCTGCTGGCAGCTGGAGGGAAGCCTAGGTCCCTGGAGGGAAGCCTAGGTCCCGGGTGCCAGAGGGAAGCCGGTGCTGGCAGCGGGGGGGAAGGAAGACCTACTCTTGCACAAATTTTTGTGCATTGGGCCTCTAGTAGTTAATAATTTGGCCTGCTTTTTTAGAATGTAGAAAAGCATCTTGAGGAGGTAGTGATTAGATTGGTCTCATATCTCTTTCACAAGCAGGCCAGGAAAATTTGATATATTGTCATTCCTACTTGATAAATTTCTCTTTTGTGTTAGAAACAGTCATCACCATACAGAGGGATCCTAAATACTGTTTTGTGACATTCAATTCATACATACATACAGTTTTTGTGTGGGTTAGAATTGCTTTAGCTAAAAACAAGTCTATAGTACTAAAAGGGTAATATGCTAATTAGACCATATAAGATGCAGCCAGTGAATGCATAAATAAGTCAAACAATAAATTGATCTCTCTCTCTCTCTCTCTCTCTCTCTCTCTCTCTCTCTCTCCCTCTCCCTCTCCCTCTCCCTCTCCCTCTCCCTCTCTTTAAAAATCAATTTTTAAAAAATTTAAAGAGCCTCAGGGACAAGGCTCTTTTTTGAGATGGATTGGTATTTTAAAGGGATTTGAACAATAAGTCTAAAACTGGGCCCCCTTGCCTGTTTTCCTGCTCTTTCCCACTGCCCAATCAATATCAAGAGGAACAGTGAAGAAGCCACAAGGGGAGCCTTGTGCTGTACAGAACTGCTGCTTCCTTCTAGACTGCCTACTACTCGGCTGCACTAACCTTTGGGGAATTGGGCACAAATGTTAAGTGTAGGAGTCAATGAGGTGGCAGCTACAATGGAAAAGTGGGGATTAGCTTTACATGAACAATTCTGTACCCTAATCTCCTGAATGTTATAATAACCCATCTAATACTGATTATAATGAGTTGAAATCATTTAGCAAGTGAAACAAATCATTTCTTAGATAACCTCAGTTTTCCAGGTAGACCCAAAAGAAGGAGTAATTTCATTGATAAGCTTTAAAACAGTTTTTACCAATAACTTCTTTCTTTCAACAAATATTTATTGATCACCTCTTATGTGTCAGACACTGTTTTAGGCCCTGGGGATACAATGGTGAGCAAAACAGACAAAAATTCTGTCTTCATGGAGCTTGCATTCTAAGTAAGATCATTAAGTTATACTCAGATGTTATTTTCATTTGTTTATCAGCCTTCTGCTGGTAAGACTTTCTCTTCTCTTTTAAAAGATCTGAACTGTGGCTCCTGTCCTAGGAGAGGTGAACAAATAGCTAATAGTCTTGACGTGTAAGGACAAGATTTTCTAAGGGTTTTCCAGGTCCTACTAAAGTAAATAGCAGCCTTAAGTGAATATACCAAAAAAAACCCCTCCTCATTAGCATCTACCTACAGTGATAACATGAATTAGCAATGAATGAAAAAGCTAAGAACTGTTTCCTAATAATCATCACCAGAAGATATTTGTGTTTACAGATACCAACTGTGCATTCTTTCTGTTGTAGAAAGTATTTCTAAAAATCAGTTAAATTTTTCCTTCCCCCTTTTGCAGCCATTTTTTTAAAAAGTTTTAACAAGCTGAGCATCCATATAAGTAGTGAATATTTAAAGCAAATTTCAAGACCTTTATTCTTTAAAAATATTAAGACTGAATTAAAATAACAAGTGTTGATATTCTTTTTTATTCTATGAAGTTATGATGCCCTTTGGGAAGACTGTATCTATAAGATAGGTAAGCTGTTTATTAACTGTCCTCACAGGAATATCAAGAGAATTAACAGTCAAATGTTTGTACACTTTTGTGTTTCTTTATTGAAAAATGTTGCAAGTATTATTACAATAGGATAAAATTATTGAAGAAGTCACAGTGATAACATCTAGCTTAATAGAAGGCACTCAGCTTCTAAAAATTGAAATGGATTTTTATTTGATAAGTAGCCCAGGCATGAAGTTTTCTCACTATATAGTTCTTATCTTTAGAATAAGTTACGTACTTATTTGGGTCTCAAGAAGATTTTTATTTTTCCAGCAGGTACTAATATGTACTCCAATTCTCATTGCAGAAGAAAGAAAAATTCGTAAAAACTTTACTGAAGAAGAAGTGAATTACATTTTCAGTGGAGTTAAGAAAATGGGAAATCACTGGAATGCAATTTTGTGGTCTTTCCCCTTTCAACAAGGACGGAAGTCTGTTGACCTTGCTCAGAAATACCACAAGCTGACCAGACGCCCCAAGTTTGTGGCTCCTTAATTGGAAGAAGAATTGTCAGTTTCTATTGTGAACTCATTTTATTTTTATTTTCCTATTGTGAACTCTTAAAATACAGTGTCTTGAAGATACAAAATTTAAAATATTATTCTAAACTCTCAGGAAACAAGAAATGTGGAAACAGGAATACTATTTACATTAAATTCTTTTTGTGATGTGATGAGCTACAGCAAAATATTAAAATAGTTTAGCCTGGCTGGTGTGGCTCAGTGGTTGAGTGTCAACCCATGAACCAAGAGTTCCCTTGTTAGATTCCTGGTTGGGTTGCAGGCTCCAATTGTGGACTCAATTCTCAGTAGGCGGCGTGCAGGAGGCAGCTGATTAATGTTCTATCTCTCTATCCCTCTCTAAGCCAATAACATTTTTGAAAAGTTGTTTATAAAATAAATACATTTTCAAGGTATGGATTAGTAAGACAAAATTCCTTCATCAGGTCAAACATTTGTTTAAGAATATGCTTTTATTTTTCCTTAAGCTCAAAGAACATAGGTCAGAGAAAAAAGCAGCCTTTACACTTTGACATTATATTGTAATGAACACTGTGAACATTTGGATTTTAGTATTCTTACCCAGTGACAGTTCCTCTCCAGAAAGATAGAATAATTTCCCAAGCTGCTCAGGTGAGGTTCCCACACACTAAGTCAACATTTGATATTTTGTTAATTGAAATGTTTCCTTGCCCTTGCTGGGTAGCTCAGTTGGTTAGATTATCATCCCTATGGCATAGGTCAAGGCTGCAGGTTCAATCACAGATCAGGACATATACAGGGGTCAACCACTGAATGCATAAAGAAGTGGAGCAACAAAAAGTAATGTCTGTGTGTGTGTCTCTCCCTCCACCCTCACATCAATTAAAAATTTTAAGTTTTCTAAAGGCTAATTGTGAAGTTGCTTTGAATACTTTAAAATTCTATGATCAGGTTCACTACTTTTTGGTGTAGGTATATTTTTGCTTTTTAAAAATTCAGAAGAGCTTTTTATAGTCACATCTCAATTTTCTTAACTCTTTTTTGTATTCCATCATGATCCCCAAAGATGTTGTTGCAGACTCCGTTATACTTAAAATGTTGCTGTGGCAAAGGGATCAAGTATAAGGGCCTGAAAGCTCCGCTGTGCTTCTGCACCCTTTGGAGCACTGCTCCATGTCATTGTAGTCGGTTCTTCAGCCCCAAAGGGCATTTCCGTGTAAGCATGAGTTCTTTGACCTTTTCCAATCATGACTATTTCTACTTAGATGAAACAAATTTTTATTAAATTTCTTATTTTCTGACCCACATTGAAAATTCCAGAAGGTCAATAAGAAAATTTTCTATTTAAATCCAAAATTTCCTCTAGGCAAAAGAATAATTGGCAATTAGTAAAATCCCTTGCAGTAAAGTGTAAATGAATCTAGTCCAATATCTGTCCGTTTCCTAAGCACTTTGGGGATTATTTAAATAGCCTTGCTGAGTTATTTTGATTTGTACTTCTCAAGATTTGTGAAAGTTGTTTTAGGTCAAAGGGGTAAACATTCTGGCTGTTGCCTCAGCCTCATTGGCTTAGATAATCAATTGTCTCTTACTGTTGTTCAGATAAGATTTAAAGATATTTTTCCACATTAGGTTGGTCTTACATAACAGTTCTTTGGAAATTATGTATGTAACACAATCATCAAACACTGCTTACAGAAGCATCCCCAAGAGTATGACATACTGTAGTTTAGACACTTTTGTGTTTGTCACTGACACTATATTCAAAATAACCTGCCTTCTGAAACCTTATTTTACCCTAACCCTTGGCTAATCTTTGGTTAGCATAAGCTGCTTTCTCCCCTCAAAAAGGGATATCTATAATAATAAAATTGTAATATGCTAATTAGACCAGACGTCCTTCTGGATGACCTTCCAGAGGAAGCTGAGGCTGCCCGGGTCCTAGGTGTCGGCTGGTGGCCAGAAGGAACCCCAGGTCCCGGGTGCCTGCCAACGGCCGGAGGGAAGCCGGTGCCGGCAGCTGGGGGAAGGAAGGCCTACTCTTGCACGAATTTTGTGCACCAGGCCTCTAGTTTGGTAATAAATTAATAAAAGGAAAGCCAAAAAATGATGACATATTAGAAGACTGTGTGGCTGTATGAATTTAGACCTAACCAAATCAACAGGGATTTTAATAATGACAGACCCTTAAAAAAATATATATATAGTTACATCTCAATTTTCTTAACTAAATTATATATATATATATATATATATATATATATATATATATATATAGTTACATCTCAATTTTCTTAACTCTTTTTTGTATTCCATCATGATCCCCAAAGATGTTGCAGACTCCGTTATACTTAAAATGTTGCTGTGGCAAAGGGATCAAGTATAACTTGATGATTGTGTTATACTTGATCCCTTTGCCACAGCAACATTTTAAGTATAAATATATATATAAATATATATAAAACATATATTTATATATAAACATATATATAAATATATATATAAATAGTGACAGACCTTTGGAGTTGGAACTGCCCTTACAGTTCCCAGCCAGAGGCATGAATTGCTCTATAACAATCTGGACATTGGTGGCTGTCTTTAATTTGTATATATCCTCAGAAACCTGTGATGTACTACTTCACAGGATAGTAACTGATGGTCAGTTCTTCCTTAGCTAAAAGAAAACGTACCACCCCTGCAGCATCTTCTGAAGAAAAAAGTTAAATTCCTTTCCCACATGCCAGCCCTTGGGACAGTTACAGATAAGTGTTTATCACTTTCCCCTGTTTTCTCTCTACATATTTTTTTAAAAATATATTTTGACTTTTTACAGAGAGGAGGGGAGAGGGATAGAGAGAAACATCGATGAGAAATATTGATTAGCTGCCTCCTGCACACCCCCTACTGGGGATGTGCCCACAACCAAGGTACATGCCCTTTACTGGAATCGAACCTGGGACCCTTCAGTCCTCAGACCGAGGCTCTATCCACTGAGCCAAACTGGTTAGGGCTCGCTCTATATCTTATCCTGCATGCTGATGAGTCCCAGCTACTTCATGCTTCATTAGAATAGTGTCATGTCCCTTTCTGAGCTTAGTCACTGACCACTGGACACCTCTGTTTATAAACTGTGTCCAGAAAGAATGTGGCCTGACTGGCGGAGTAGGGCATCAGCTTTGCTAGGCCCAATGGGGTTTTATGGACCTTACCTAAAATGCTTCTTGGCATTCTATATGACCAACTTTCAGGTTATAGTTAATATAGTTATAATCTATATAGTTTATATAGGTTATAAATTGTATTAATTCCTATCTTATGCATTTTATTTTTTAATATATTTTTATTGATTTCAGAGAGGCAGGGAGAGGGAGAGAGAAACATCAATGATGAGAGAGAATCATTGATCAGCTGTCTCCTGCATGCCCCCTACTGGGGATTGAGCCCGCAACCTGGGCATTTGCCCTTGATGGAATTGAACCTGGGACCCTCCAGTCTATAGGCCGATGCTCTATCCACTCAGCCAAACCAGCTAGGGCTTATGCATTTATTTTTAACCCCACAACAGAACTTTAAATTCCATCCTGTTGGGTTTAGTCTATACTCAGTTTGTCATCCATTACATTAGGCATCCCTTCCTCATTCAGGTCATCCAAACTTCTATGAGTGTTCTGCTGCATGCTTATCCAAGTCACACAGGCATCCTGAATTTGCTGGGCTAGATTTGGGGGTTGGAGCAAGCCCCCTATCAGCCTCTTCTGGGGTCCCTGCTCATCAGCCCCCCCTTGAGCCTGGTCTGTAACAAGCCTCAATCCCACCTACATTTCACTTTCTTATCTATAATGTGAATTTTCAAATGCCCTGTTGAAATTTACATTTGCTATGCCTGCACTAACCTATCTGGTATTCCTGCAAAAAAACCCTGTGAATGTGGTGCCATCTTTTCCAACTGGTCATATTATAGAATTTTACCTAGGGCTGATGAAGTTCACTGGCCTATAGTTTTCAACTTCATCTTCTGTCCTGTGAGAATTCAGACCCTGCTTGCCCTTTTATGACTTGACAACACTGCCTGCTCTTCCCAGATTTCCCGAGGGATAATTCTTAATGGGTTTTCACTCCCATTATTCCTTTTGAACCTTACATCCAGGTTGGCATATAGGTCTGAGACAGGCCAGTAAGCCAGGACAAGTGGAATGTGGAAACTGAAAAAGGTAGTTGGACAAACTGGCAGGACAATTTACAGCAGATACCTCCCTAGAGATAACATCTAGGCCTCAGTTGTATTTCAGCTGCAGGCTCAGAAAAGCAGCAAAACCAGGTGGGTGACCAGGACCAGCTGCAATGACTAATGACCCCTTGCCCTGACACTGACCAATCAGTGGAGACCACGACCCTGAAGGAGCATGCCTAGAAAACTGATGAATATTCTGCTGAAACCCATCCTTGAGACCTCCCCTAATATTCCCGCCTTCAAGAAAGAGATGAAAACCTCAAGATAAAGGACCCAGTGCTTGCTTGCTCCTTGAATGCCCCCACCATTCCGTTTCCCTTCCCTCTCTTCATTCCCCAAAGGCACGTATCCTAAATTCTAAGGAACCGCATGAGACTTGCAACCAAGAGAGCATTGTGCAACAGCAGCTCATCCCAGGCTAACCCCTTAACCTGTTCCCCAGTATCCCTTTTCTCTGACTTCCCAGAGAGCTAAGGCTCTCGTGTTGCTTCCTCTATGCCAGCGGTTCTCAACCTGTGGGTCGCGACCCCTTTGGGGGTCGAACGACCCTTTCACAGGGGTCGCCTAAGACCATCGGAAAACACATATATAATTACATATTGTTTTTGTGATTAATCACTATGCTTTAATTATGTTCAATTTGTAACAATGAAATTGGGGGTCACCACAACATGAGGAACTGTATTAAAGGGTCGCGGCATTAGGAAGGTTGAGAACCACTGCTATAATCCATTTGGCAGAGCCAGGATCAGAATCCTACCCATCTAAAACCCACGTAGGTGGCTGCTTTTCTGCTATATCCCACTTCCTTGTGATATTTAAAAACACCTTGTAAAGTGAGCCTGTTTCCACAGAGTCCTCAGGTGATGGCCACACCTAAATTTAAGTTTGATAGGTAAAATGTATTTTTTCTCTCCTTTTCTTCCATTATCCTCTTCGTTCCCCTTTCTCTTCCCTATCCCTTCCCCTTTCACATCTCTTCCTTTTTCTCCCACCCCCACCCCCAAGAAAGGAAATGAAAGCCGCCAAATGCTGGCTTCCTGATAATATTTTTTAACCTGTTTATAAAGTAAAACTCAAGTGTGTTGTCAACTGCGGTGAAGACTACCGCCTCACAATCTTAATAGGGTCAGTGAAGGAGGGGGCGAAAGAAGGGATATTTGAGAATTTGGAGGTCAGGTTTAAGGCTCATCTTCCCATGCGGGGCTTGATTAGGATTAGGCAAACTCCAGATATAACCGGTCAATATCTGTGACTAAGATGGCAAGGACCCGGACGCTATCTTCTAGCGTGGAGTTCTTCGGCGGGTTTCCTAAGCTTTGTGAACTTCAGGTTCCTCGTCTGTAAACGGGTTAGATTCGATTGAGGGAGAAAATGTGACTCTGGCACACAAGTAAGAGCTAGATAAACGGTGCAATGTAGGTACTCGTCTCATTCCAAAACCTGGGCCTCTCGCGTCCGTCCATCGGGCTGCCTCGGCCTCGACGGCGCGGGAGCGGCCAGCGCGAGGACCCGGGGA